CCCCAAAACCCCAAAACCCCAAAACCCCAAAACCCCAAAACCCCAAAACCCCTAATTCTTCATAAAATATTGAAAATTTAGATCGATTTCAAGCATGAACAGATCGACAGAGAGAGCTTTTCCACGGCCTTTCCTAAGCTTGCAGTAAGGCAGCTCTTTAAAATACTTTTAACCTTTATAGAAGCCAAGGTAGGCAAGGGAGTGGATCTAGGAAACTTCCGAATCAAGATATTGATACCATGAGTCGTATTATTTCCCATAATTTGAAGTAGCAAGGGAAAACTGTATAAACTTCCTAGACCTAGTGTAGGCGTCGTTGAGTCAAGTGCTAGAGTCAAGCAATGGAATACCTCTCAAGGGCTTTCTAGAAGAGTAAGTTTCCTCAATTTTTTATTTATTTTTGATTTTTCAGCAACTTATGGTCTAGGTTATTAAGAGGAGAAGTCCGAATTTCAACAACAGCAAAGGTTTTAGTAGAATTTGTTGCAATCAGCGTCTATCTGAGGAGAACAAAGCCAGCCTTAGCAGAACAATCAATCAACTTCCTTTGGAAACAGGCAGAAATGGAGGGATAAAGATGGAGAAAGGAGATTTTTTCAGCAATAAACGCTCGGGCCCCAATTTACACAACTTGAGGTACTTTAGCAATATGCTTGATCATTCAAGATCTCCAGAGTCATCTCGGTAAATTTTTAGCTAATTTTCAGCCCAATCCAGAAAAGATTAGCTGAATTTTACATCAAGAGACACTTGAGGCAGAAGAAGGCTATCTCTCATTCCAGAATCAGCCGGAGTATCGAGACAGCAAGGAAAATGGTCATCTCCCACTTTAAGGAAAAATATAATATCAAAGCAAATCAAAAAGAACGAAGAAGGTTTAAAAATATGGAGATTTCTATGAAGGTAACTTTCCTCACATAAATTCCTTAGAATAGGGTATTCTTGAAGGAAAATCTTCGCCGAGCTGACACACTGACTCCCGAAGGAAAGAGGCTCGTCCTTCATAACTATGCTAATCTCAGCAGAGGGCTTTGGAAGAGGTATGTGCAAAGTTCATTCCACACTAACGCTATTGTAATCCAAAAATAATGTCAGGTAATCTCCTACAATAATCGCTAGAGGATTTCTCCAGAGGCTGAAGTTTAAACATCTGCTCTACATCCGTGAGGCTTCAGCAAGAATGATCCAGAAATAAATGGAAAGACTCTAGGTGGAAGAGACTTGTCCCTAAAATGATGCTGAACCACAAGAACAAAGGTAGGCCTCCGACTAACTTCTAGCGGCTACTAAGATACAGAAGGTAGTCAAGGGATATTTCCTTCGCAAGAAGATATACAAGCAGATCTTCCTGCAAAAGCAGGAAGAACTTGCTATCTGCCATGCTCAGGTACTCTCCCTACTCTTAACTCTGTAGCTTAAGCAGAAGGAAATGGCCTTCCTTGCTGAAGAGGACAAACAGAAGGAGCTAATACAGATCTCAGTTGAAGAAGAAACTAAGGTTGAACAAGAAATACTGGAACAAGAATCACCCAGAAAAAGAAAGAAAAAGGTTAATCCGGCTATTGGGAAAGTTAAAGCTGTAGTACCACATGCTACTAGGAGAACAAGCAGCTTTGCTTCAAAGAAATCAGCAAATTGTGATTAATTTTTAGGTTTCAAAACTTGTCTGTTCGATAGGGGTTTTGGGGTTTTGGGGTTTTGGGG